TGGCTGCAATATAACAAAGAGTGAAAAATTTAAGGGGGTCTGAATACTTTCCGTACCCATTGTATATATATATATATATATATATATATATTAAACATACAGTTTGAATTTATTATCTTTAATATGTGTATTATTATTATTGTATTACTGTATTTATATATTGTGTATTTATATAAAAAAAATTATTTATGTAAAAACAGTACTCCTATATAATTGTAATATTGGCAATTTATTTATTTGTTTATTTTAAAACATACTTTTATTGGCATACTTTTTTTTTGCTGTTACTACAGTTTTATTTATCTGTTTGCATAGTGCCTCAGAACCCCTCTTAACCGTGTTCAATTACTGTAATGTGTGGTGTTTTACTTCTCATGTTGCTATTGTTGTTCTGGTTTGGTCCTGAATTAAACTTTCTCAGCGTGTCACATGAGTTTCTGCTGCTCGGTGTGAAAGCAGGTTTATTATGATGCATTACCAGACACTACCGTCATATTCTGCTGCAATGACAGCTGAACTGACCCGAGTCCTGACATCCCGCTGCTTTAGCACAGGAAGTCCAAAAAGTGTCACACCTTCCAATTTAGTGTGTGCGACTGCAGCAATTTGATGTCAAGACATGCCAAGAGTTTGTCCTTGGCGCTGAAGATGACAGCGCAGTTGTTAGCTATAGTTTTTAATGTTTTTAGCCCTACTCAAGCAGAAAAACCTGACGTCCATCTCCAGCTGCAACAGAGGAAGATACAATAAACACAAAAGTGAAACAGACCTGCCATGACTTTATTAGCCTTGATCTCAACGAGTCAGCAAACTGCTGACAGCAAACGACTGATTGTGTGATGTTGGTGTTTGTTTAAAATGGTGTCTGTTTTCTCACTCATCATGAGGTGTGACCGTGTAATGAGAGTGTATAGTATTCACAGTCATTAAGATGTGTGGGTCAACTCTTCTCAGCTCCCAGAAGGCCTAGAAATAGACCTTTTCTCAATTAAAGCATGACAAGAGGAAATGATGCCCATCATGGTGGCATTTTTCCCACAGGTTTTTCTCTAGATCAACACTGAAAGTTGCTAGAAAGATGATAGGAAGTGAAATTCAAGGGTTTGCATTAATATTCATCAAAGATGCAAGAACTAATGGATGAACTGATCATTAAAATAAACGCCATCAGATTTTATAATCAGTTAGTTGGGTCTTTTGGAGTGTGCACTGGGAAAATCTGTCAGTAACTGTAAAGTAAACTGTGAACTAAGTAAAAAACTCAATTTTAAGGGGGGAAAAACATTTACTGTTAATGCATTTTTATTTTGCAAACAACACATCCAAAAAGTAAATGTGTGATTTAAACATCTCTGTCAATGTTAAACTTTGAATATATATATATTTTTTATTATTTTTTTATTTTTTATTTTTTTTGTGGTTGCTGTCGAGAATTTAATTTAGGTTTTAAATTAGCTAAACATGCTTGCATATGTAATAAAAGTTTTAAATGAACAGTAACTATAATTGGATGTAGTGGCATCATATTATTTATATGTTATTAAGTATACTGTATATAAATACACACACAACCATTCAAAAGTTTGGGTTGGTAAGATTTGTTTAATGTTTTTGAAAGAAGTGTCTTCTGCTCACCCAGGCTGCACTTATTTGATCAAAAATATAGTAAAAAAGTGAAATATTATTACAATTTAAAATAGCTGTTTTCTGTGTGAATATCTGTTAAAATGTAGTTTATTCCTGTGATCAAAACTGAATTTTCAGCATCATTACTCCAGTCTTCAGTGTCACATGATCTTCAGAAATCATTCTAATATGCTGATTTGCTGCTCGAGAAACATTTCTGATTATTATCAATGTTGAAAACAGTTGTGCTGCACAATATTTTTGTGGAAACTGTGATACATTAAATTTTTCAGGATTCACAGATGAATAGAAAGTTCAAAAGAACAGCATTTATTGAAATGGATATCATTTGTAACATTATATATGTCTTTACTGTCACTTTTGATCAATATAATGCATCCTTGATAAATAAAAGTATTCATTTATTTTTAAAAGATCACTCATATATACTGCTCATAGAAGTAAAGACCTATTTTTGGACTTTCGCATTGAAGCCGAACAGAGCTGTGTAACATGACAGTAGCATCTCTGGAGATTTAATAAAAGTTCAAAGTCGAAAGCGCCACACTCTCTGCTGACATCTCACCTTCAAAGTGTGATAGATCTGCAGTGCTTTCCAGAAAGCCGACCCAAAGTTAAACGGTAATGAGACATCTGCAGGGAGCTGTTCAAATCCATAACTTGCAAGACTGATCTTTCTTTCCTCTTTCATTGCAGAATAAGGTGCTGAGCATTGATGGTGTGAGAGTTAAACTACAGGTGAGCATGCGACTTTTTTAATGCTATTTTAAAGGAATAGTCCACCCAAAAATGAAAATTTCCCAAGAATGTACTCACCTTCAGGCCCTCCACTGATGCAATGCTACATTTCTCCAAACCTGATGAAGAAACAAACTCATCTACATGTTGGATGGTTTGAGGATATACTAATTTTCAGCAAACTTTCATTTTTGAGTGAACTATTACTTTAAGACACCAGTTGGCTTTACCAGTGCTAAACCAGCATAGACCAGAACAGACCTTCTTGCTGGTCTTTTCTACAAGATTAAAATGTAATATCTCATACAAACACGTACCATTTTTACTTTTTTGTTAAGTGAATATTACGAGTTAAATCAGTTACTAATGCGCATATTTTCAATATAAGCTTTTAGGTTGGATACCATCTGTTGCCATTTATATTATCTCAATAAACCCTGGAGTAATTAGGTGATTAAATTACCTAATTTCAAAGCAACTCCAATTATCTGTGCTGTTTTAAATACTAAGGTGATGCATTTGGATGTTCCCATGTTGCTTTGCTCCCTCTGGCTAATATTGACTAAGTAAACAATGAATGCGCATCTCGAGGATCAGCTCTAATGAGAGTTTAACGAGGTTGTCATTAATCCTTAACGCTCCATTAGCCACATGCCTCGCACTAGTGAACGGATACACACAGACTCGACTGCGTGTTTGATTCAACCAGACATACAGCTTCATAACCTGCTCTGCTGCACATACTGTATAATCAGAGAATAGCGTTACAGTAGATGGTTTTTAAGGTCGTTAGTGTAATTATTGTGGACCGTTGAACAGGGTGAGCGGTTGATAGGTGAATTAATGTTGATAGGGATCATTAAAGAACGCTGTGTCAGGTCAAATGTGCAAACATCTCAAAGCAAAACTAATCCTCCCACATGCTTACGTTGTGAATCCGTGTTTTCACACATCAAGGTTGGGCCTCATTACTGGGGCTGTTCACGAACCTCATTTTTAAAGCGATAGTTCACCCAAAAATACTTATTCTTTATATGAATTATTTGCTATATGTAAAAAAAAGGTTCTGTTTGAATCAGATGTATAACAGTTTGTGCCTTTTCTTAGGTGACTCTGTTTTAGAAATCACTTTTATTGCATGCATCCTGCTTGAGTTTGAGACACAGAAGCATGTTTATCTTTCTCAAAATGTTTAAAACATTAACTTTGGAAAATGTGTAATACAGTATCTTAGTTTAATGCTATCTTGACAAGTTTGGATTTCTGAGACACAGAAAAGTAGACAATGCCGCCATCCAATTTAAAAATGAAATCACTCATTTTTATTCATAAGTTCACACTTCATATTGGCTTCACAGACCTTACCATTGTGTTATTCGTATTTATTTTTTTTAAATGTAAAAATATTAACATTTACATTTATGCATTTGGCAGATACTTTTATCCAAAGCGACTTGCATTGCATTCAAGATATAGATTTCTTCAGTTATTGAATTCCCTGCGAATTAAACCTATAACCTCTGGGTTGCTGGCACTGTACTCTTAAAAATAGGTTCCCCAAAAACCTTTCATGAGCAGTTGTTAAAATAACCTTTTTTAGTAAAAAGAACCTTTTGTGCAATGGAAAGTTTCCAGTGGATGTTAAAGGTTCTTCATTGAACCATCGATGCCAGGTAAAGAACCTTTATTTTTAAGAGTGCATTTGAAAGCTACAGGAATGCACATTAAAGCCAAACAATTTGCTAAAATTGCTTTGTTTCTTCATCAGATTTGGAGAAATGTAGCATTGCGTCACTG